CAAAACATTAATTATGTTTAATATAAGTATTCAGTTTGGCATTAAAAAAAATTTACTATTTCAATTAAACTATTCACTTTGAAAAGATAAACCAGACTACAAAACACTTGTTCATATAAGTATTGGAGCAAATTATTGGGAAAAACTGTTTTTCAATTACAGTTATAATTTTTATCAAAACTTGCAAAGTGGATTAACAGAACACAGAAACGTATTCAATGTAGCTTTGATAACTCAGAAACAATAACATCAATGCTAAATTTTTAATATGAAAGCATACCATGCTTATATTAATTCTAGACTGCAAAATAGGATATTAAATACAAGAAATTTGTTCCATTATAAATACCAAAATTTTACTTCTGAAAACCCGACATAAGAATTTTCCTTATTACACATTATGCTCTACTAATAGGTCTAAATCTAAATACCAATCAGTCATGTTTCATATAGCTAGGTGGTATTTTGTGTATGGAGTTGTTTGACTTTTTCTTCAAGTTTCGTGTTTATAGTTTGAAAAGTTTGAACTATTTCAATGTGATCTGTGTTTATGGACTGTTAAAGACACAAACAGGATTTTCCTAACTTAACTTTGAAATCTTAATTGTTTTACATATATTTTCTTGAATTTCCTTTTACTGTATATACTAAATCTAATTAGAGTCAGTCACATAAGAATACATGTTTTAAAACATAAAACTGCATACAAGATTTCAATTAGTATATTCATTTAAATCGCAATTACTTAACCTTTTTTTTTTACACTAATACATTTTCTCAAATTTGTTTTCGTTACCTAATTTGAATGGTAATTCCATTTACACATATTCTTTATATCTAACAAATTAATTTTGTATGGACTTTTTGTCTGCTTTAGTTACCTACAATTAAACATATTTTCAAACTGAGCTGAAACTTCAAATGCATCTTCAACTGTACCGATACAGCAACATCAATGCTTCTTAAGCTGTTTTGTAATAACCGGTGTAATGCGAAACAAGATAAATCAATAATAATAGCAACAAAATTACTGCTGTAACCTTAGTTTTTCTTATGAACTAACAAACACAGGAATCAAAGATCTTTCACTTAATAGTCTAAAAAACATTGTGCATGGTTATACACCATATTACCACAATAATGAGTAGAGTTGAAATGACAAAATTCAACCCATGACTACTAATATATCTGTTCATTACTTCAAATACAGGTTAAAACATGGAACTCAAACCTGGACATTTTTCTTTTCAAAAATTCAGGCACACATGGCTCAAAATACATTTGTCCAATCAAGTTTTTTTTTGTGTATTATCCTCTGGCAAACAGCTAGTAAATACACTGAATAAACTTGTAGAAGAAATGTCTTCCACATTCAAAAATTATCAGGAAACATTGCTAATATAAAATCTATAAAACAAGGCAGAACTCTTCCAGTCCAAAGAAGCTTAAATTTGTACAAAGCAAATGAACCTGAACTAATACAATATTTGAGAACAATCTGGCTAATAAAATTTTGAGTCACTTTAAGTAGAGTCAAGAGGGAACAGGATATTCTGAAATAAAAGGACTGGAAGAGTCCACAGGGTTTTATCAATTTTCTACTCTAGTCCTACATATATCTGGAACTGTTTTTCCAAACACCATTCTTTCCAGAAAGATAATAATACACCAAAACAAACTGTAATGAAAGCTCTGCATATAGTTATCAAATACAGAGGTTATCAGTGGCTTCTTTTATGGATGAGGTCTCTCTGATTTAGGAAGCTTGAGAGGTAAGCTCTAATGTTGTTGATTTCCAGGTCTTGGAATAAAATTCTTGACTTCATCAAACACTAAACCTAAAGGGGAACAGAAAGATCGAACCTGTTAATGTGGGACTCTTCCAGTGTCTTTCAGGAAATCCCAGTTTATATGTGTATAATTTTTTTTTTTTTTTTGTCACAAACTCAAATAATTCCTACTGAGCTCAAGTATTTATTCATTTTGATGAAAAAACTATTAGACTAATTACATCATCATCAGAATCTGGAAACAATTTATTTGTTATACAAGAATCACAGTCAATGTTTTACATAAAACTAATAACAGTATTAGACAGTGGCAACAATGGGTGAGAATTATAAAGATAAGTAGTTAATGGATTAGAAAAAAACATGAGACACAAACTCCCCATGTAATTGTGGCCTGCTAATAGCAAGACCTCCTGAATAAATTTTCTGGTACTTGAAATAATTTTTCAGGATCTACACACACTTCTAAGTTTTTATGTAACTTAATAAAACTTGTACAGACAGACATATGGAATAACCAAATGCAGGTGAACAAAGTAAGACGATGTATTGAGAGACATATGGAATAACCAAATGCAGGCGAACAAAGTAAGACGATGTATTGAGAGACATATGGAATAACCAAATGCAGGCGAACAAATTAAGATGATGTATGAGAGACGTATGGAATAACCAAATGCAGGCGAACAAATTAAGATGATGTATTGAGAGACGTATGGAATAACCAAGTGCAGGCGAACAAATTAAGATGATGTATTGAGAGACGTATGGAATAACCAAGTGCAGG